ATCAAGCTGTAATATGCCAGCAAATATCCTTATCATTTTACTACTTCACTGCCTTATATACTTGAGTTTCACGGTAAACTGAACCTCTAGAAAGAGGTTGGGTTAATTAGTGTTTTGGAACAGCATTACAATTCCCAATGACCGTTCAGTGATTGCTTCATCGATCCTTGGCCTTGAAAGCTGATGTTGCGTCAGACAAGCCAGCGAATCTTACTAGAGCTTGTCTCACGCATGCAACCAAGTATCCACTTCGATAGATATAAAGCAGTGGTTGTAAATTTAGGCTACTCGCTTACGCAGACACTTTTCAACGATAGTACCCGCTCTTAAATTACAATTAGACCTCGACTGCAGAGGTGACAGCAGCTTCCTTTGTAATACTACAATTGGGATACATCCAGTCCTTGGTCGCGTTGATCAATAATGAGAACCAAAAGACAAAACACAACGCTTATTCAACCTTTTTAGCGTCGATCAAGCCCAAATTACAAGTCCAGTCCTTTTAATACTTGGGTCGTAGTATCCTTTCAGATGAAAAGGCAGGACGTGATACAGTTGTTCGCACGAACAGTAATGTGAGAATCTTTATGCGGCTCAAACGCTTTTGTGCAGACATCCTGAAGTCACCCAATGAACGAAACAAGTTGAACGTATGGGCTTCTTCAAGCCACTAGTCTCTGCATGCGTGATATATTGGGCCGATTCTTGCTTCGCCAAGTAGTGAAATTACTCAGGAGTGATAAGACTGTGAAATTCCGAATGTCAATAAATCAGCTGAATATTACTGATTGAAATATTGTGGATATATCTTCCACAAAAAAGGCCCTAAGTTGTGTGTCCCCAATGCGATGCTAGGCATAGCATGGTTTCCTGGGAGGATAAACAAGAGGTCTGGCCATCAAAGTTAAGGACTTATGGTTAACCACTGGACTGCATTTTTATCTGCGCGATCGAGCACTGGAACCAAAACTGGACAATTATTTGCTGGGATTCTGTTACCGCCCGTGATCCATGGGCAACAGCTATTCGGGAAAACGTTGGAGTAGACTGATCCTTCTCTAAATAGAAACATAAATAAATCAAGGTTATATTGGTCTAAAAAGCATTTTGCTTTACAATGACCAAAGGATATTGGTGTGTGTGTGTATGTATACAGATAAACGGAATGATATGACATATATGTTCTATTGTTTGTAATCTGCATCTCAAATGTTGATGAGGGAAGTTGGGTGAGATCTTATGTATTCGTCAAGCGAATGTTTGAAAGTCTCGAGGTTACCACAATCCACAACAGATGTTGGTAGTTTGTTCCACGTGAGGGATACGCGAACTGAAAAAAGTAGCGCCGACAGTTAATGGCGGGAACATGGAATGTCAACGGCCAATGGATTCCGTCGGGTCTGTCGGGCCAAATTAACTGTGAACAAATGTTTTAAAGGGTGATTAGGGGTGTTTATTATCTTGAACATCAGGATGAGGTCTCC